GTCCTTTGAAAAAAATACCTTGAAAAACTTTTTTCAATCTTTCTGCATCCACACTTGTGTTTTATGGAAGCTTTAAGAAAAAAATTTATAAAAACATAAATATTAATAATCAATAAAAATTCCTCTTTAACTATATATTAGTTATAATAAGTTAATTTAATTTTAAACCTACTAAAAATAAAAATGTTTTGTTATTTTTCCTTCTAAAAATCTAAAAGTTTCATTTGATTTGCAAAAAGTTTCATTTCGGTTGTAAAAGGTTTCATTTCGGTTGCAAAAGGTTTCATTCCCGCTGCAAAAGGTTTCATTTCCACTGCAAAAGGTTTCATTTCCACTGCAAAAGGTTTCAATTCCACTGCAAAAGTTTTCATTCCCGCTGCAAAAAGTTTCATTTCAATTGCAAAAGGTTTCATTTAATCTGAAAATGCTATATAGTGTAATGATCACATATGTTTGTTGTAATGATTGCGGATTTTATGTCGAATTTAGAATTATATCTAATAAATAAGTGATCAATGCAAGTTCTACTCCCTGTACGTTCATCTTCTCTTGTTTTTCCGTCAATGTAGCTCTTTAGACCGTTTGACGCACACATATCCAAATATAATTTAGATAAAGAACTATTGCTACAAATGTCAAGATTCATATCTCCTACAAGTATGATTCCATGTTTTTTGTTGATCTTGTTTATACATTGGTCTAGTTCCTCAATGAATTTCTTTATGTTAAAATTGGAAGGGCGGTAGCAGGGGATTATTTTCAAAAAGGTATTTTTCATTGTTATTTCTATGAAGATTGTTTCAAAGAACCTTCTGTTTATATTTATTTCATTATATGCAATTTCATTACTTATATATAAAGCGATTCCACCTCCTCTTTTTATACCCTCCACCATACTATGGAGGGTATATTAACTTTGTCATTCCGTTTGTAACTCCTCGAAATACTCATGTCAGACCCAACAAAGTATATATATTCTTGATCAGCGTAAAATTCTAAGTCGATTTAGCGATGTCCGTCTGTCTGTCTGTCTGTCCGTCTGTCTGTCTGTCCGTCTGTCTGTCTGTCTGTTGTAATCACGCTATCTTTCGAATAAATTGAGATAGATGGCTAAAATTTTGCACACATGTTTATTTTTCCAGTAGGCAGGTTAAGTTCGTAAATGGGCCATGTAGGTCCACGTTTTCATATAGCTCCCATATAACGGCACCTCCGGATTTTCGGTATTTTGATGATTTTAGCGACGTTATTCACCGGAATTGTTTCAAATTTGGTATTTTAAGTTCCAAATGGATACTACACCCTAAGATAGAAAATTATCTGTGCAAGTCTATGTCTTCGTATAGCCCCCATATAACGGTACCTCCCGATATTCGGTATTTTGATGATTTTAGCGACATTATTCACGGGAATTGTTTCAAATCTGGTATTTGAAGTTCCAAATGGATACTACACCCTAAGACAGAAATTTGTCTTTGCAGGTCCACGTCTTCGCATAGCCCCAATATAACGGTACCTCCCTATATTCGGTATTTTGATGATTTTAGCGACGTTATTCACCGGAATTGTTTCAAATTTGGTATTTGAAGTTCCAAATGGATACTACACCCTAAGATAGAAAATTGTCTGTGCAAGTCTATGTCTTCGTATAGCCCCCATATAACGGTACCTCCCGATATTCGGTATTTTGATGATTTTAGCGACATTATTCACGGGAATTGTTTCAAATCTGGTATTTGAAGTTCCAAATGGATACTACACCCTAAGACAGAAAATTGTCTTTGCAGGTCCACGTCTTCGTATAGCCCCAATATAACGGTAACTCCCTATATTCGGTATTTTGATGATTTTAGCGACATTATTCACTGGAATTGTTTCAAATTTGGTATTTTAAGTTCCAAATGGATTCTACACCCTAAGACTGAAAATTGTCTGTGCAGGTCCACGTCTTCGTATAGCCCCCATATAACGGCACGTCGCTATGTTCGGTATTTTGATGATTTTAGCGACATTATTAACCGGAATTGTTTAAAATTTGATATTTGAAGTTCGTTATGGGAACTACAGTCTGTGACAGAAAATTGTCGGTGCGGGTCCAGTTTCGAATTTGAATATGGTAATGGCTTATGACAAACAATGCATATGTATGTCCACGTCGTATAGACCCCAACATAACGGCTATATTCGGTATTTTTAAAATTTTAACAGAATTTTTTAAGGATTTTATTTTTTGAAAATTTCCAAATTCGTTGTAAATGGTGGAGGGTATTAAAAGTTCGGCCCGGCCGAACTTACTGCTTTTTAACTTGTTTCACTATTTAAAAAGGTTGAGTTACAACCCTTTATTTGATAGAACTGTATTTCGTCGTCGTTTATGTTTATCTATTAGAATTATTATTTTTATTTCTCCAATTATATTTTTTATTCTAGTTAAAAAATCAGTGAAATGTTTTCTAATGGATCGTATGTTCATGCGTATCAAAGATATTGGCTGTTTAATGCAATATTTATTAATTTCATCAAAATTAGAATGGTAATTCAATTTGTTTTATATTTTATTTATTAAAAAAAATGCAATAGTCTTTTTCTACTTATTCAATTTATTTTATTTTTGACTTTTTCATAAAAAAGTTTGAAAAATTAGGCTTTGTGTTATTGCTTTTTATTTTGTCTTATAACGTGTTCATAACTTGTTTTCCTTGCTTTTTATTGTTGTACATTTGAAATACGTTCAAAATCATTGAAATTGTTTATGGAAATTTGTGTAGAGTTTTCATTCTTATTTGCGTAGATTTGACCATTTTTGGCCCATACAAATTTCCAGCCCATTTCTTTGGCTTTGTTTTAAGACATCCATAAGATGCGTCTATTTTCTGCCGTAAGCTCATCGTTGATATATATTTATCTATTGGTTGGGTAATTATTATTCCCATCAAGAACGCACTCATCGATTCGGTGTCTCTTCAAGTTTTTCATAATCTCTTTTTTATACCCTCCACCAAAAAAGGTATGGAGGGTATATTAAGTTCGTCATTCCGTTTGTAACTCATCGAAATAATCATTTTAGATCCAACAAAGTATATATATTCCTGATCAGCGAAAAATTCTAAGACGATTTAGCCCTGTCCGTCCGTCTGTCCGTCAGTTGTAACCACGCTACAGTCTAAACGAATTAAGATAGGAAGCTAAAATTTTGCACAGCTCTCTTTTGTCTGCAGGCAGGTCAAGTTCGAAGATGGGGTATATCGGTCCACAATATCGTATAGCCCTTATATAACGGTACCCCCGATATTCGGTATTTTGATGTTTTTAGCCATATTTTTCAACGGAATGGTCACAAGGGATTCTTTGTACACAAGGGGTTCTTTGTGAGCACTTTACCCCCCGACTGAGAATTCTCTATATAGGTTAACGATTACGTATAGCCCCCATATAACGGTACGTCGCGATATTCGGTATTTTGATGATTTTAGCCACATTTTAAAATCGTATTGTCTGAAAATCCACACACGGAGTTCTTTGTGAGCACTTTACCCCTGAAACGGAATTGTCTATATAGGTCCACAATATCGTATATCCCCCATATAACAGTACCCCCCGATATTCGGTATTTTGATGATTTTACCCACATTTTTCAACGGAATTGTCTGATAATCCACACAAGGAGTTCTTTGTGAGTACTTTACATCCTGAAAGAGAGTTGTCTGTATAGGTCCACGATATCGTATATCCCCCATATAACGGTACCCTCTGATATGCGGTATTTTGATGATTTCAGCCACATTTTTCAACGGAATTGTCTGAAATTCCACACAAGGCGTTCTTTGTGAGCACTTTACCCCCTGACATAGAGTTCTCTATATAGGTTAACGATATCGAAAATCCACACAAGGATTTTTTGTGAGCACTTTAACCCCTGAAAGGCATTTGTCTATATAGGTCCACAATATCGTATATCCCCCATATAACGGTACCCCCGATATTTGAGGTTTTGATGATTTTAGCCACATTTCCCAATGGAATTATCTGAAAATCCACACAAGGAGTTCCTTGTGAGTATTTTACCCCCAGACATAGATTTGTCTATATAGGTCCACAATAGTATATATCCCCGCATATATCGGCACCTTCCGATATTAGGTATTTTAAAGATTTTAACAGAATTTTCAATGGATTTTATTTTTTTGAATATTTTCTAATTCGTTCCAAATGGTGGAGGGTATTCAAAGTTTGGCCCGGCCGAACTTATTGCTTTTTTACTTGTCTTATGCATGGAAGAGAATTCAACAATTATCTTATTCTTTGATTTTATTTGATTTGCGTTCTCAATATGTGAGTCGTTTACTTTGACACCCATACAAGATGCAATCTTTTTGACGACCGTCTCTGTCTCCATTCCGACAGCATTCGCGCTGTTGATTTCTATGTTACGCTCAATCATCTTTTGCTCTAGTTTTTTCACTCTCATCTCCATTTCATTTATCTGCCTGCTCCTCTCTTTATCTTTGTTTTGGAGGTCAACGACCTGAGTAGAGATGTTAGTTAGCGTTTCATTTATTTTATTGAGACTCTCAGTCATGTTGTTGTTGGAAACAGTAAATGATCATTTGCTGCATTACTGTTTTCAGTCCTCCTATGTCTTACCTGTAGTGGAATTCTCTAATATTTTTTTCTATCGAATCGGTATCGTTCAATACCGAATAATGTCGGTTGAGATACCGATTGTGTTATTCTATAAATACAAGTAACCGACGGAAAAAATCGATAGCATTTACCGACGAATATCGATGGAATGACAAGTGTCAAAAAAATATATGCCAAATTCATATTTGAAAATGGATAACATGTAAGTATAACAAAATTTTTTTTTCTAACAATTTTACTGTTTTTAGGAAAAAAACACGATGTCCCAGGGCAAGCATGGCGCAACACGCAGCGCTGCTCAATTTTCTGGAGTCAGTGAAGGGAAGTGCAAGAAAAAAGTGGTTAGAAATTGCTGAAGAACTAAATAAAATCCCTGGAGCGGTAAAAACTCCAGAACATTGCAAACGGTAAGTTCAATATTTTCTTTACGCTTCCTATTTAAAATAAATTATTATTTTTTTAGGTTTGGCGCGACCTCAAGTCTAAAACCTCATCAAAATTTAAGACCTTAAAAAGGGAAAGAAATGTCACTGCTAATATGCCGCTTACAAAGGGATTCCTCAACCCTATCGAGAAGAGAGTAGTCGCCATAGTTGAATGGGAATACATGATGGGTAACGTAGAATGTCCTGACAGTCTGGAAATTGAAGTGGTATGGTTTCAGTACATAAAATGTTATTTTATTCAATACATACATGGCAATGTATTCCAGGAAAATAATCTTAACGCATTAATAAATGAAGACACAAGCCAACATGATATAAACACCTATAAAGTGGAAGTCTTGGAGGATGAGATTGACGCATTACAAAATCACACTTCTTTGAAACATAGCACACAAGAAATCGACAAGTCCTCGTATAATAAACATCTGAAGAAAGACAGCAACAACAAAGAAGAGTTTTTGAAAATAGCCAAAACACAAGCTGAAGCATTATTGGTAATGCTTTCAGTAGCTTTCCTAAAATATGTTAATTTCTTATAGTTGGCATCTTATATTCGTGCCTTCGAAATTCTTACTTAAAATATCATTTCTATTTTGATTCATTTCATATTGTTTCTGTGTTTCTTTTAGATCCTTGCCAATGCCCAAAAGGAAACTGCACAGGCAATGGTTACAATATCGGAAAACTTTGCGTTTCTTGGTGAAATTTTAGTGGCTCAAAATAGAATAGAAAATTGTGTCAATAAGATCGATCGGCGCTTAACAAATATTGAGAAATAAGTTCCTTTTAAATGCATAGCAATCTAAATTGCACATATTTTACGATTTTATGTACTGTAACAATTTTTCTATTATAAAATTATTTTATGTGCTTAAGATACTATGTACATGTGTAGAAATCAGAAATGTAAAAAAATAATTTTAAACAAGTTAAAAAGCAGTAAGTTCGGCCGGGCCGAACTTTTAATACCCTCCACCATTTACAACGAATTTGGAAATTTTCAAAAAATAAAATCCTTAAAAAATTCTGTTAAAATTTTAAAAATACCGAATATAGCCGTTATGTTGGGGTCTATACGACGTGGACATACATATGCATTGTTTGTCATAAGCCATTACCATATTCAAATTCGAAACTGGACCCGCACCGACAATTTTCTGTCACAGACTGTAGTTCCCATAACGAACTTCAAATATCAAATTTTAAACAATTCCGGTTAATAATGTCGCTAAAATCATCAAAATACCGAACATAGCGACGTGCCGTTATATGGGGGCTATACGAAGACGTGGACCTGCACAGACAATTTTCAGTCTTAGGGTGTAGAATCCATTTGGAACTTAAAATACCAAATTTGAAACAATTCCAGTGAATAATGTCGCTAAAATCATCAAAATACCGAATATAGGGAGTTACCGTTATATTGGGGCTATACGAAGACGTGGACCTGCAAAGACAATTTTCTGTCTTAGGGTGTAGTATCCATTTGGAACTTCAAATACCAGATTTGAAACAATTCCCGTGAATAATGTCGCTAAAATCATCAAAATACCGAATATCGGGAGGTACCGTTATATGGGGGCTATACGAAGACATAGACTTGCACAGACAATTTTCTATCTTAGGGTGTAGTATCCATTTGGAACTTCAAATACCAAATTTGAAACAATTCCGGTGAATAACGTCGCTAAAATCATCAAAATACCGAATATAGGGAGGTACCGTTATATTGGGGCTATGCGAAGACGTGGACCTGCAAAGACAAATTTCTGTCTTAGGGTGTAGTATCCATTTGGAACTTCAAATACCAGATTTGAAACAATTCCCGTGAATAATGTCGCTAAAATCATCAAAATACCGAATATCGGGAGGTACCGTTATATGGGGGCTATACGAAGACATAGACTTGCACAGATAATTTTCTATCTTAGGGTGTAGTATCCATTTGGAACTTAAAATACCAAATTTGAAACAATTCCGGTGAATAACGTCGCTAAAATCATCAAAATACCGAAAATCCGGAGGTGCCGTTATATGGGAGCTATATGAAAACGTGGACCTACATGGCCCATTTACGAACTTAACCTGCCTACTGGAAAAATAAACATGTGTGCAAAATTTTAGCCATCTATCTCAATTTATTCGAAAGATAGCGTGATTACAACAGACAGACAGACAGACGGACAGACAGACAGACAGACAGACGGACAGACAGACAGACAGACGGACATCGCTAAATCGACTTAGAATTTTACGCTGATCAAGAATATATATACTTTGTTGGGTCTGACATGAGTATTTCGAGGAGTTACAAACGGAATGACAAAGTTAATATACCCTCCATAGTATGGTGGAGGGTATAAAAAGTCCTGCCAAAATAACGTTTTGGTTTTTTTCTAAATCTATCTATATATAAAACATTTTAGTTATAAGGATACTGACTGATTCATTAACGCCCAGGCAAAACGGGAGAAGCTAGAATCTTCAAACTTTGGTCAATGTTGGTTTGTAGGTGTGAGATAAGACTAGGTTTTTCGAAATTGGGAATTTTAAATATTTGTTTTGCACAAACGGATAGAGCTGTACTTCTGAAATTGGTTATAAATGATCTATGATGAGGTGGAGGATAGATGTACCAAAGGTTTTTTTGAAAATCGAACTACAATACACTAATAGTATGAAAAGCATTAAATTTGGTACCATTTTGTATTTGTTTGCGAACGGATAGTGCAAATATATCGACATTTGGGATAAGAATTATGTTTGGGAGGTAGGGTTGGTATAAGGAGAAAGTACTGAATGGTACTAACTTCGATATTGCTTGAACGGATAGTGCTTTAAATTGGACTTTAAGGTGACTGTTAGTGTGTAAGATTTGAGTTGGTTTTGGAAATACGTACTAGAAACAACGAAAAGTACTCAATAGGTATAGAGTGTAGGAATAGAGCTGGAATTATGAATTTTGGTATGATAATAGTACTGAATGATACTACATTTGATATTAAAATTTGATTATTATTAAAATACCCTTTTGCAAGAAAATCAAAACTGTGTATTATTTAAAGGTTTAAAGAGTCAGTTAAACTCCTTTTTAATATATATCTCATTGAATTTATGAAAAATATTGTGTTATAATTTGATTCTGAATTCGGCGAGCTACCGATAAAAGGGACCGGCCCTCTGTTTCATATTCCCCGTCATTTATTCTAGGCCCATATTGAAAAACATTGTCTTGAACAGGCTACATATATTGGCACTTAATGTTGTGTAAGACTGTATACGCATTGACAATCCTTCCAGCAAATGCAGGGCTATATTGTAATACCCTATGACGGGAAAGGCACCTCCATGTATTTTTCATAACACCGAATTCCCTTTCAATACAGTTTCTAGTTTTGCACAAAGCTTCATTATATGCAAACCTAAAGGAGCCGGGCGTCTCATTGGGTGAAGGGTTCATTAGCCATGGCTCTAACGGATATCCCATGTCGCCTAAAATATTCTTCATCATATTCATATTAAGTACTCATGGTTGCATTCATACCAATTAAAAAAGTTCTCCTTTCGCCATGATTAAACGCATTTTCCAGCAATGTTCTAGCAGGACTAGAATCCCAAAATGAAGCTGTCGTGTCTTGATCCCCCTATCGTCATCGTTTATGTTTGTCTGTTAGAATTATTATTTTTATTTCTCCAATTATATTTTTTATTCTAGTTAAAAAATCAGTGAAATGTTTTCTAATGGATCGTATGTTCATGCGTATCAAAGATATTGGCTGTTTAATGCAATATTTATTAATTTCATCAAAATTAGAATGGTAATTCAATTTGTTTTATATTTTATTTATTAAAAAAATGCAATAGTCTTTTTCTACTTATTCAATTTATTTTATTTTGACTTTTTCATAAAAAAGTTTGAAAAATTAGGCTTTGTGTTATTGCTTTTTATTTGGTCTTATAACGTGTTCATAACTTGTTTTCCTTGCTTTTTATTGTTGTACATTTGAAATACGTTCAAAATCATTGAAATTGTTTATGGCTGTTTAATGCAATATTTATTAATTTCATCAAAATTAGAATGGTAATTCATTTTGCTTTATATTTAATTTATTAAAAAAATGCAATAGACTTTTTCTACTTATTCAATTTATTTTATTTTAATTTTGACTTTTTCATAAAAAAGTTTGAAAAATTAGGCTTTGTGTTATTGCTTTTATTTTGTCTTATAACGTGTTCATAACTTGTTTTCCTTGCTTTGTATTGTTGTACATTTGAAATACGTTCAAAATCATTGAAATTGTTTATGGAAATTTGTGTAGAGTTTTCATTCTTATTTGCGTAGATTTGACCATTTTTGGCCCATACAAATTTCCAGCCCATTTCTTTGGCTTTGTTTTAAGACATCCATAAGATGCGTCTATTTTCTGCCGTAAGCTCATCGTTGATATATATTTATCTATTGGTTGAGTAATTATTATTCCCATCAAGAACGCACTCATCGATTCGGTGTCTCTTCAAGTTTTTCATAATCTCTTTTTTATACCCTCCACCAAAAAAGGTATGGAGGGTATATTAAGTTCGCCATTCCGTTTGTAACTCATCGAAATAATCATTTTAGATCCAACAAAGTATATATATTCTTGATCAGCGAAAAATTTTAAGATTATTTAGCCCTGTCCGTCCGTCTGTCCGTCAGTTGTAATCACGCTACAGTCTAAACGAATTAAGATAGGAAGCTAAAATTTTGCACAGCTCTCTTTTGTCTGCAGGCAGGTCAAGTTCGAAGATGGGGTATATCGGTCCACGATATCGTATAGCCCCCATATAACAGTACCCCCCGATATTCGGTATTTTTATGATTTTACCCACATTTTTTATCGGAAATGTCTGAAAATCCACACAAGGAGTTCCTTGTGGGTACTTTATGCCTCGACAGAGAATTATCTATATAGGACCACAATATCGTATAGCCCTTATATAACGGTACCCCCGATATTCGGTATTTTGATGTTTTTAGCCATATTTTTCAACGGAATGGTCACAAGGGATTCTTTGTACACAAGGGGTTCTTTGTGAGCACTTTACCCCCCGGCAGAGAATTCTCTATATAGGTTAACGATTACGTATAGCCCCCATATAACGGTACCTCGCGATATTCGGTATTTTGATGATTTTAGCCACATTTTCCAATCGTATTGTCTGAAAATCCACACACGGAGTTCTTTGTGAGCACTTTACCCCTGAAACGGAATTGTCTATATAGGTCCACAATATCGTATATCCCCCATATAACAGTACCCCCAGATATTCGGTATTTTGATGATTTTACCCACATTTTCCAACGGAATTGTCTGATAATCCACACAAGGAGTTCTTTGTGAGTACTTTACTTCCTGAAAGAGAGTTGTCTGTATAGGTCCACGATATCGTATATCCCCCATATAACGGTACCCTCTTATATGCGGTATTTGATGATTTCAGCCACATTTTTCAACGGAATTGTCTGAAATTCCACACATGGCGTTCTTTGTGAGCACTTTACCCCCTGTCATAGAGTTCTCTATATAGGTTAACGATATCGAAAATCCACACAAGGATTTTTTGTGAGCACTTTAACCCCTGAAAGGCATTTGTCTATATAGGTCCACAATATCGTATATCCCCCATATAACGGTACCCCCGATATTTGAGGTTTTGATGATTTTAGCCACATTTCCCAATGGAATTATCTGAAAATCCACACA